CCCACGACCCAGAATAGGAGGTTTTGGGGCCAGATGTTCCGCCCCTGGAGTGAAGAGGGGCCGCCACCCCTCCCTCTAAAGACTAAACAGGAAAGAAGAAAAACCACCGCCCAGCGAAACCCCGAGCAATCCTCGAGCCCATCTGGCCTGCTTGGGCGGGGGTGTGTGTCCTGTGACAGGAGCGTGGAAGTGCCCGGGCCAGGAGTTTAAGCTTCCTCCAGGACCCAGATAAATCCGCCCCATCTGCTAATGTCTGCCCATCAGGAAGCCGAGGTTCCCAGTGGGGCCAGAAGGGATTAGGAGAGAAGTTAGCATCCCTTGATAAGCTGGTTTTGGTCTTCCAGTCCTTGCAGAGGACTTTAACTTTCCAATCAGTAACATGTGAAGGGACTCTTGGGGGGTCCCTTCACATGTTACACAGAGCATGCAAGTGAACCTGAAGGCGCACAACTGCCACAAACGGCTGGCCACTCGGACAAGGCCGGAAACGTGAATTGGACTTTCTTTTTTCTCTGGCTGATGCAACGCTGACTAGAGTATTTGCATGTGGGAGATGCACGTGCTCCATCCCTGGGGAATTAGTTTGTACCTCTTTCCGCTGTACCGATCCTTTGGCAAACACCACACCAAACACACACACAAAACAAGAAGTGATCTGCCCTTCCTGTTTCCTCACTATCTGAACTCAAAATGGAAACAAGAACTGGGGCTCGAGCAGCCCCCACGCAGAGGGGAATTGCATTATTTTGGCTAAAACACATCATTCAGGCTGCAGAATAATCATGCACCAGGATTCCTGGGCAGAGGCCAGTGTTCAGAAATGTAGAGGGACTCCACAGAGAAAACAATTTAAATCTTGAAAGGCACCAGGGAAATGGAGAAGGAACATGTTAGAGAAGGAACTGGATTTCGCAGGAAATCAGGAAAGGAATATGTTTCAAAAGATCTTGCTTTGTTGCTATCGGTCTCTCCACATGGCCTCAAGATTCTCCCAGAATCTCTCCAAAGCTGGAAGATCCCTTAGGATCCTAAGCTTGCTAGGTGCTCTCATTCTGGCCATTCATAAAATACCCATATGCCTTAGATTTTGCACAAATCTGTCCAAAATCAAATGGAAGCCTTCAGTCAGCTTTCTTGCAGCCAGTCAGTATGAGAATTGCATCACCTCTCACAATGTAAAATTTATACATATCAGAAATGCATGCTGTGAGTGGCCGAGAGCTCAGAAAAGTTACTTTACTGGATTACAGCTTTCAGCCTCCTCCAACCAGCATGTAATTCAAAGGTGTCAATTTTCAAACTCTACTGCAGCACTTACGTAGAGTGCTCCACGCATGCCCTCTTCTCTAATTTCTTGCAAACCACAAAATGGTTTCTAGATGGTGCATCACTTGGGTTTGCAATGTGTAGCTAGTGAAACCATCAAGTGTGAGGCAATCTTTGGAAAATGTGTTGCAGTCCTTTGGTGATATTACCATGGAGACAGATCTGTTACAAAATGGAAAGGGATGGAAAAGTAGTAGAGACAGAGAAGTATATATAGTAACGAGATAGACACAGGTCAAGGACAGAGAACTGGAAGCCTGCCAAGGTGCTCCGATCTTGCATCCATTTCCCCATGACTGGAGTGGCTATTGCTTTGCCCCCCCTCCAGTCCCCAAAAAAGGAAAGAAAAAAAGGAGTCCTCCTTCCAAAAGGCAACAGGGCACCAATTTGTATGCTAATATACATGCAAATTTAGAATATTGCTATTATTTACATGGAAATATAACATATATGAGCAGAGTGTGGAAGACGGTGTGACGAGATGCACTTTGGGATGGTCAAGGTTCCACAAGCTACCTCTGTCAAGGACTTGTCATGCCACTAATAATAATTAAGTGCCCTCAGGTGGATTCCAATTGACGTTGAGACCCTCTCAGAGTTTTCTAGGTAAAAAGTACTAGAAGAAGTCTGGTACTGCTTTGGGATCATGCAGCTTGCCAAAGGGGACACAGGTTGGTTCGTTTTTAATTTATAGCCCATTAACAATACAATCATATACATAATAAATTTATCTCTATGGAAAATACAATCCCTATTCCATAATCCATTAATACCTGCATTCTAATGAGTTTAAAATATAGGACACTAGTGCACCTGCTGACGCTTCAGAATGTCATCTTCCCCATTTAAATCCAGACCAGAAACCAACAAAAGGTACCAGATCTTAATGAAATTCTCTTCTTTTATTTCTCTTGTAAGCAGTCTAAATCAAGTCATCTGTCTCTCCATCAGTGCTACTGCCCACATTCTATCCAAATATCTGCCCTGGCTTTGGAATATTTGTTGCACCTAAGATTGGATATTGCTTTCTCTAATGTCCCTTGAGAAGGGGACAACAGAAAAGGGACAACAGAGAAGGGACAACAGAGGACAAGATGGATGGACAGTGTCATTGAAGCTACCAGCATGAATTTGACCCAGCTACGGGAGGCAGTGGAAGACAGGAGGACCTGGCATGCTCTGGTTCATGGGGTCACAAAGAGTCGGACATGACTTAACGACTAAACACAACAATGTCTCTTTGCTGCCAAGATGCTTTTATCTTTCACCCTTTCTCTCTTCTTGCATTTCTGATTCTCTTTATTCCTCTGATGCTTTAATTGTGCCATTTCTCATTCTAAAGCAACACTGCATTTTTCAAATCGATTATGCCCTGCCCTGGGAGTTTTTATCATCCAAAGGACATGTAGATTATGGGGTTACATGGCCTGTCAACTCTGTGGCCTTGGATCAGCTACACAGTCTCAAAATGTCACCAGAAAGGGGGACTAGTAGATCATTTCCAAGTAATGTTCTTGGAAAACCCTGTGGGGCTTGCCATAAATCAGAACCAACAGTGCATCATCATCATTAGAGAACTTAATAAAGGGTTGGGAAAATGTTTTTTTTTTCAGTCAACAATTCTTTGGTTGAGTTTATTTTTCATCCTTAGACATCTCAAGTTCCTCAGGGATCCTACTAAATCCTTCCACCTTGACCTTGTTCATTATATTTCCCCAAACCGTCAAACGTCTGTCCAGAATCCTATGTGTCAGCACCAACTATGCTGCCTTATTACATTTCTCTAACTTATGTACCCTTAACCAGATTTCTTTGCAGCTTTTTCTGAACTCCAGCAAAATATGTGTTATAATAATATAACTATCATCTTAGAACTGCAAAGCTGGAAGGGTATACCCCTCCCTGAACAATGTTATACATCCTTATTTAAGATTCCCCTATATATTAAGCATAGGGACCTGTGGCCAGATGGGTGGTTGTGGAGTGCCAGCCTCCAAACCCCAGCCTCACTCTGTTATCTGTCCCACTTCCTCTCTGGTGCCTTTTCCAGTTTTAACATCATGCTTCTTTCTGCATAGAAAAACATCCTTTTGCAAAACCGAATTGGCAGATAACAAGCACACACACCCCTCTCATGTCATAGATCTACTGCCTTGCCCTATATCTCCGACCGACTCATCCCAGTTCTGCTATTTTGACTTTATTGCTCCAGGGTGTAATCCAGAAGCTCTTGTTGGTATGTATGGCTTTTATTTATTGCCAATAAATGCCCTGAAGTTCTAGAAGGCTCCTCCAGTAGTCTTGGGCTGGGGGATTTGTAGAGAATCTTATAAAACCCTTGCGTGGTTAAGCAGTTCTCTGGAGAAGCTGGTGTGAGCTGTCAGATGCTCGTCAGAAGGCAACAGGCAACTCTGAGTCAGCTTGATGGAAATGATACTTGAGCATCATTCCCCTGGGGACAAAGTTCACATCTGTTTGTTAAGGGCAAAGAACTGTCTTGGACTATGCCCTAATTCACTCTCCTTTTACCACATTGTAAAATTAACTCAATCAACAAGTTTGCTTTGCACTTCAGAAAGCTCTCCAGATAATCACCCTGCAGCTGAACAGTTCATTTCATTTAGCAGGAGAACAGGATTTTTCTAATACAGGTACTGAGAAGGCGGAAGCAAACTTGGAAAGCAGGATATAGATGCTGAAGCATAAACATGCAATATTTGTATAGGAATCAAAGCAAATGGCTGTAGTTTTCTTCCCCCTGAAGTTCCGCAAATTTCAGTCTGGCTAAGTGGGAGTTCTCCATTGTTAGAAAGACTTTGGACAGTTCTTTGTGAATATGACAGGCTTTTTTTTAAAAAAAATGGTGTATTCAAACTGTAATAGCCAGCATATCGAAGCACTCACATCATATTGCTGTTTCTTTTTTCAGAGGAGTGCATCTTTAGGGAGTAAAGCCCTTTACCCAGTAGCATCCACAGGAACTGCTCAATTAGGGAAGTTGAGGTGGAAAGAGTTGGCAGATGATAGAAAGTTTGAAAACTCGCCATAATGGTTGGATGATGGTTGGAGTTACAATGCAAAAGAGTAATCTTAGAACTGCTGAACTGGAAGGGACCCTATAGATCAGTGGTTCTTAACCTTTGTTACTCGGATGCTTTTGAACTGCAACTCCCAGAAACCCCAGTCAGGACAGCTGGTGGTGAAGGCTTCTGGGAGTTGCAGTCCAAAACTCCTGAGTAACCCAAGGTTAAGAACCAGTGCTATAGATCATGAAGTCCAGCCCTTGTCAAGGATGCACAGTCGGGAATCGAACTGCCAGCCTTTGGCTCCGCAGCCAGGGATTTAAACCACTGAGCTATCTGAAGTAATTTCTTCAGTCTCTGATTTCAGATCCTGTTTCTCAGAAATACATGTAAATTTTGATTCAATCATTGCATATTTTGTCATCTTCTGGGAAATTTTGGTCCCTTAGCGGCAACACAAGAAAGAAAAATGTTCCTGAGGAAACCTACCAAGGGTGTTGGCCTAAACTTTGGCTGGTCATATAACCATCGAGCGTGGCCTTGGCTGCCAGATGGGTGGTATATAAACAAACAAGCAAACAAACACATATGAACACATTTACCAGACAGAAAAAAAGAAACAAAAAAATTTAATTTGTGTACTGTACTTACAAGGCACTGTTCATTTTGCTTTTCAGCTTGAGGTGGGCTTTGCTGCTGAATTCCATTTCCTCCTTTTCTCAACTGGCTGAAAGCAGAAAGGGATACATGGATGAGAAGCTATTCTGCTTTGAAGCTGCTCGCCAGATAGATTCCACTCTTCCCCCCCCCTGCATTTGAGAGATGCCATTTCCTTCTCTATGAAATTGAACACTCTCTAAGCAAGCGTAAGTAACCTGCACCAACTTCTGGTTTAGTTAGTATGATGGAAGACTCGCAGCTTCCTTTTAAATTGAGCTTACGGTATTTGAGCTGTTTCTTTGGTGGTTTGAAAAAAAGGAAGCAGACAAACATCTGTAAACCATGGTTTGTGTGTAAACAAACCTAAACATTTAAGTCGTTTCTTGGGTTCTAAGCCCACTTTCTGTAATCTAGTGCCTTCCAGATCTTTTGAATTGGAGTTCCCTTCAATCCCAGCTAATATAACCAATGATGAGGATCATGAAAGTATAGGTCCAAAATATCTAGAGACTCTGGACTGGAGAACCCTGTTCTAAACTGTGGTTTGTGCAAACCATAGTTTGGTGTGATATCTTGAACATAGCTTCTATTGACATACTCAGACTCTCCATTGGCAGAAGCATGTGAAGTAGTCCATTTTCGTATTTACATGTATAAAAAGCTTTCCTTCTGTATGCTCTAGTAAAGTAGCACAAGGTGTTGTTTTGTTCACCCCTCCCTTTCTATTTAGTTGCCACAGCAACAGTTTCTAAGCTGTTTAGCACTAGGACAAGCAGCCAGGACTTCTGATATTTGATACATACAGGCAGCTGTTGGCACCATCCAAGTTTCCCCACTATGGTGATTTAAAAATATATATTTGGCCAAGATCTGAGCAACCCAAAGAGATTAGTTTTAAAGGTGGCTGGTGCCTCCTTTAAACATGTATTCCCACCTTTTTCTGAGACCCCAGGAGACACTTAACTAGCACATTGGCAGAAGGATTGCAAACCTATCCTTGTGGAATTTCCAAGGTGAGAATAACATAAGGGCTGGGATGTTGTAGCTTGATGTGGGAGGTCCTGTCTGTTAGGGAGTCTGCTGTATGTCCCTGAGCAACTCTCTCTCTCTCTCTCTCATTGCCTAGTCTAGCCAATAGGGTCATCATGAACCCAAAATTGCTCTCTCTGATTTCTTTAGATATGATGATTATAGGTGTACTACTCACACATTACACTATAATGTATAACTGCACCTAAATGAACACACATTTATGTGATGGGATGATAGGATCAAAATAATTTGGAAAGACAGCTAGATACACCACCCCTGACGATTCATTCGGTAGATCTAACGAGAAGTATTGTTAGAATCTTGTGCTCATGTTTTTGCCAGGGATGTAAGCTGAGTTATAGTCTTTGGCAGGTGATTGGATATAATATGAAGCCTTCAGCTCACGACGTCATGGGTCTCTGAATTTGAGTGTGACCCATCGTTTTCAAGTGTATACGCCAAACACACCTTAAATTCCTTCTAGCTTCTCTCAGACAAACTGTGCCTGAAAAACAGATTATGTAAGCAAGAAGCCCAGCTGTCAGGGTGTAACTCTGGGTCTCTTTTGTTTTATGAACATCACAAGCTCAACTGCCTGCTTGTTTTGAAGGAGCAGGATTATTTTTTTATTGTATGAGTGGATCCCTTAAGAGTTCATCAACACTGCTCCTTCTCTGGTATTTAAATGGCCATTTGGGCTTAGCATTTGAAACCGAGGTTATCTATAAACAGCATTTTGAGTCCAGAGTTTGCTTTTGTCTTAGATCTGTACCTTCAGAGGGAGAAAGAAAAAGAGGAACGTCATGGCTATTTTGATTTTAGTACTAATGCTAGGGATTCTTTTTAAAAAACACACTGATCTCGCCTGATTGCAGAAACTAAGCAGGATCTGGCCTTCTTGTATTTGAATGAGAAGCTATTAGAGAACGTAGAAGAGCTTCAGGTATAGGTAAGGGAAAATCCTGCTTAAACCTCTGGAGAGGTTGGAGGTCATGATAATCAGTCAGCCACCTCACAAAAAGCCACCTGCTAGTTTTCCTAAAAGATGCTGCTCTCTCTTCCCTTCCAAGTCTTCAACCATGGAAATGGATGAATGACAGCATTTTATCAAACAGGGGCAAACCTGCTTTTCACTTACAAGATAGGATTCATAGAAAATAATGCCAATGATGGTGCGGTACACCAGCATCTACAGCATGTGTGTCCCATTTCTGAACACGTACACAAGCAAGCAAATGCGGAGTCCAGGGAGAGTGCTGCAGCTGTTGGCATGAAACATTTAGAGGCCTGGCTCCCCATTGAACGGCAGCTTCATACAGTATTCACAGCCTCATACAGTATTAAGAGATGATGTTGCCATATGAAAGGCTGTAGAAAAAAATGTTCTTTTTGGACATGGTTTTGCATTTAATAGCACATCCCCATCGTTTCTCTCCAACCTCCTGCTGCTTCCTCCTTCTGTTTCTTTATTGCCAAGAGAAGTTGCATAAAAATAGGGTAATATTATCAGTAATACTTCACACTTTTCATTTCCAAGTGCCTTGCAATGCATTAATTTTCACTGTGCATTCATAAGACAGCTAAGTGTTATCAACAACCTAGTTTTTTCCCCTTCTCCTTTTCCTGACCCCCCTTTCCTTTTTTTACAGTGGAGAAAATGATAGCGTAAAGCAGAAGGGTTGCTTTCAAAAAACCTCTAACAAGTCAGAGCGGGAGGCAGGTTTTTAGACTGTCTAAACTCAGATTGCTAGTCCCAAAACCTGAGATCCAGGACTGGGATCTGTATTCTGCTTCTCAGGCCTGAACCCAATATCTCAGGAAATGGGGTGCTGCCAATCTGGCAAAGCAGAGTTAATTCTTGTTGCTTCAAGACAGGCAGCTTTGTCTTTTAATTATGTTGCATAATTATGTTGCATATTCCAATACACAAATGTTATTCTTTCCAGCTGCCATAGAGTCTCTACTTTATTTGTCTGTCAGGCACAAACCATTTTGAAGGATCTGCCCCATATAATAATGTCCTGGGATGCTGCTGACCTGGCAAGGCTAATGTCAACTTTTTGCTTGATGTAGGACATTCAGCATTCCTAAACAATGGTTGCACCTGGCCTCTGTTTGAAGACTTTCAGCTGAGAGACAGTCCATCTAATGCCAAGTAACTAGATCCATTGTCCCCCTGCTTTCACAATTAAGAAACATATCCAGTTGTTTAATCTGAATCTACCTTCCTGTAACGTAAACCCATTAGATGCAGTGCAAGCCTTTCAGGTGGCTGGGACAAGCTGACTTGCTTTTCTCTGTGTGGCAGAACACACTTCTGGTCTTTATGAGCATTTATATCTCAGTGGACTGAGGACCTGGCTGGGGCTGGGAGTTCAAATCTCCACTGTGCCACCCAGGAAAAAGCCTAGCCATGATCAGTGGGGGAGTGTGTGGCTGAGGAGGTCACATGCCCTGCCACCTGTGCCGCCTTGGACAAGCTGTACAGTCTGAGCACTCACCCGAACAAGGAACTAGTAAACTGCTTCTGAGTAGTTTATACACAGAAAACCTTGGGAGGGTCACTGTGACTCACAATCAACTTAGTGGCACACCGTTTAGTTAAACATAAGCAAGGGCTCTATATATTTAAATGGAAGCAGCGCTCCTCCACTTTGATTTAAAAAAAATTAAGGGCCAGCAGTCACAGGTGCAACTCCTGGGAATGATCTTAAATGTATTATTTATTTTTCTTATTTATATGCTGCTTTTCTCCCTAAAGAGATTCAAGGTGGCTCACAACTGCTTAAAACCATACAACAAATGTCACAGAGATGCCATACTAAAAAGTAGCTCAACAGATATCAAGATTAAAATCAGGAATAAAAGCAAATTTAAAACATTTCTTAAAAACATTAAAAGATCTCTAAGTTTAATTTTTCTAAAAAAAATAGCGTTTCTGAGACACTTGTTGCTGAACAGCTTGCCTGAAAAGAAAGACCTTTTTGCCTTGAGATGGAAGGATGTTATCAGGCAAATATTTTGGCTTCTGTGGGTATAGCAAAGTGAGGTTCCTATCCTTAGCCAGAGAGCTATGAAAGAAGCTACAAAGGGTCCATGATGATGGGGTGTTGCCATGTCTGGTTCTTTGTCATCTGACATTTTCTGGCACCTGCATAGTCACCTACCATCAATGTCTGTGTCCAGAAACATCCACGGACTTCTTTGCTATTACCTGTCCATCCATGGGAGGGCAGGATAACCTGAACTTCAGAGGCTCTTGTTTTACCTATTTTCTGCTCCTCTCCAAGGTCTTTAATGGGACTGAGGATCTTGTTTTACCAGGGCATTTTACTGCCTGATGGAAAGGCCAACATGGTGCCCCCCCCTTCTGTTCTCTATATAAAACCTGACTTGGCTTGCAGCTGAATCTGACTTCAACCATGATGGCAAGATAGTGTCTACCAATACATTGGGGAGTAGCAAGCTACCTTAGGGGGCACGTAGGAGGTCATACGGCACACCAAATTCTTATTGTTGTTGTCTATGCCTGGGCAACTCTTGCTGGGGTGACTACTCTGCTCTGCTTTGGTTCGATCCCGGTGATCACACCCGCTGGAACCAAACCAAAATGGAGTGAGCCTACCCATACCAATAAAACAGTAGCTCCTGACAGGGACTCTAGAAAGATGCAATTAGGCATAAATAAGAGGCAGGCTGGATTGTGATTGCTCATACCTCATTTGGTCTCTAGAAAAAGGAGAGAACCAGTCCATCTCCAATGTGGACCGAATGGCAGGACAAAGACCCGTCTGATTGCATCCTAAGTATCCCAGCCCTCTGAGACACTATTTAGAAGGTACTTCAGACTTCTGGAGAAAGGGTGTGTGTGGCTTCTTCTGGAGTAAGCAGCTGGATTCAGTGGAAGACCATCACACGATCCTTGCTATAGCACTGAAGTATCCCCATTCCCCAAGACAGAGTTTAGCTGGAGATTGCTTCATTGTGTTCTGTAGCTCTTACATTTTCCTTAAAGAAAGACATGCCTCGGGTTGTCAAAATAGAATTCCCACTCCCTTTAACACAGCAACTGCTGGCATCATCAGAGAAAGGGAAAACCCCAGGAG